AAAAAAGGTTTGTTGAGGAAAGGTAAATAAAGGGGTTGCTGATGGCGATTGAAATTATAAATAAATAAAAAGAGCAGATAAACAGTGACTAGTATTAAGATAAAGATGACTTGATGTTTTCGTAAATAAATGGAAAAACAACCAAATAGTAAAAAGGGCTTTTGAGGAAAGGTAAATAAAGGGGTTGCTGATGGCGATGAAAATAATAAATAAATAAAAAGAGCAGATAATCAGTGACTAGTATTAGGATAAAGATGACTTGATGTCTTCGTAAATAAATGGAAAAACAACTAAATAGTAAAAAGGGCTTTTGAGGAAAGGTAAATAAAGGGGTTGCTGATGGCGATGAAAATGATAAATAAATAAAAAGAGCAGATAAACAGTAACTAGTATTAGGATAAAGATTACTTGGTGTCTACGTAAATAAATGGAAAAACAACCAAATAGTAAAAAGGGCTTTTGAGGAAAGGTAAATAAAGGGGCTTCTGATGGCGATGAAAATAAATAAATAAGTAAAAGTAGCAGATAAACAGTGACTAGTATTAGGATAAAGATGACTTGATGTCTTTGTAAATAAATGGAAAAATAACCAAATAGTAAAAAGGGTTTTTGAGGAAAGGTAAATAAAGGGGTTGCTGATGGCGATTAAAATTATAAATAACAAAAAAGGGCAGATAAACAGTGACTAGTATTAGGATAAAGATGACTTGATGTCTCCGTAAATAAATGGAAAAACAACCAAATAGTAAAAGGAGCTTTTGAGGAAAGGTAAATAAAGGGGTTGCTGATGGCGATGAAAATAATAAATAAATAAAAAGAGCAGATAAACAGTGACTAGTATTAGGATAAAGATGACTTGATGTCTCCGTAAATAAATTGAAAAACAACCAAATAGTAAAAAGGGCTTTTGAGAAAAGGTAAATAAAGGGGTTGCTGATGGCGATGAAAATTATAAATAAATAAAAAGGGCAGATAAACAGTGACTAGTATTAGGATAAGGATGACTTGGTGTCTCCGTAAATAAATGGAAAAATAATCAAATAGTAAAAAGGGTTTTGAAGAAGGTAAATAAAGGGGTTGCTGATGGCGATGAAAATAATAAATAAATAAAAAGAGCAGATAAACAGTGACTAGTATTAGGATAAAGATGACTTGATGTCTCCGTAAATAAGTTGAAAAACAACCAAATAGTAAAAAGGGCTTTTGAGGAAAGGTAAATAAAGGGGTTGCTGATGGCGATGAAAATTATAAATAAATAAAAAGGGCAGATTAACAGTGACTAGTATTAGGATAAGGATGACTTGATGTCTCCGTAAATAAATGGAAAAATAGCCAAATAGTAAAAAGGGTTTTGAAGAAGGTAAATAAAGAGGTTGCTGATAGCGATGAAAATAATAAATAAATAAAAAGAGCAGATAAACAGTGACTAGTATTAGGATAAAGATGACGTGCAGTCTTTGTAGGAAAAAGTTGAAGATGGGTTAGAACTATATTGAAAAAATTGGAATAAATGACAATTTGAACAAGACGCTAATAGAAACCATCAGAATGAAGAAGTTATGAAATTAATCTCTAATTAGATTTAGTTTTTGTGAAAAGTAAATACCTTCTTTATTGCTGAATAAATTTGAGATATCGGGAGAAATTCTTTCAATATCAGGGAGTATCTTTGCTGACTAATTCTCTAGTGATGTGCAGTTTTCTGTACCCTACTTCTTCCGTTTCTCGCATCTTATCCTGCAACATATTCGATGATCTGTTAAGAAGAAAAATGAAAGCAAATAAATATTGTTACAGCTTATATGGCTGTTTTTCAATAACGATAAAATCTTACACGTGGTTTTAAAAATATTTGTTGCCAAAAAATTTTAGGAATTTAATCATTAGTAGTACATCAAGAGTAGAAATGAATAAAGAAAGGTATCTGTAGCAATTGGATGAACTTTGAATTAGAGGCACCTTGCAAACCGGAGTGAAAAACTGGAAAACCTCTTAATAGGAATGTGGGCGAGTAGAGTGTTTTGCCACAACGCAGGGGCGGACTGGCTAATTATTTTGGCCCGGGCAAATTTTGATCAAACCGGCCCACAATAATAGCAAATAAAAAACTCCTCGGAAAATACAAGTAAATGTTAGTCTGTAAGGAAAACAAGTTTTTAAATTCAGTAATTTTGTGCATGGATGCATGCTGGTTAACAGAATATGGTTAACGGAACATGTTAAATATGTCATATGCTGACTAAACAGTAAATAAAAAAAAATTGTAACTTCTTGGTTTGACTCTGATTCTAAATACAGGAACTTATATGTTGATAATGCTATCGTTCTGGATGTCATTTAACAGGTGCTTTTCTAAGAACATTAACATGAAAAACATTAGCATTTGACTTATGATAGTGTAGGCCTAATAAACTTTCCATAACTTGTTTTAGTTGATTGAAAGGAGCAAGAGCAAGACCCTGCTGTTTTTTGTGATGTTTGTGGCTTTTGCTTGATAAAAAAGCTTTGTATCGTAGCTGAATCCTTTTTTTAAGTCTCGCAGCTTTTCCTCGCGAAATTTCTATGCACCACCTTTGATTGTTGGAGTCTTCTTGCTCTTCCTCGTTCTACGTATGTCCTCTTTATTGCTCCAAATCACAGAGCAAATCGCTTAGTGAACTCTAATAACTTTTAAATTTATTACATTTAGCAATAGCTTGTGCTTAGGCAAAAACATGACCAGCTTCAAGCAAAAGCTAAGTAAGAAGACATCAAGGCAGGTTAAAATCTTATGTATCGCCTTGAAACAGGGGTGTTACAGTATAGTATGTTACAGTCGCCAATAAGAAAATACCGTCAAGAGAAAATATAACAATAACATGTTTCCTGAAGAAGTGTGTCTGGGCTGAATGAATTCATAATGAATTCATAATTTTAATGGTTCTCGAGTACTTGCATGTATATTTATTCTTTCCCACAATTCAAATTCAAGTGTCTCTGAAAATTCAAGGCAAACAGATCAACGCGTGGGTATACTTTTTAAGCTAATTTATTTTTTTGCACTTTTATCAGCCGGCCCTCAAACCGACCGGCCCTTCGGGCGATCGCCCGAATAGCCCGACCAGCCAGTCCGCCCCTGCCACAACGCACACCTACTAAGCTTGTATCCCAGGAATATATACATATATATATTGATCTCCAACCATGTGACCACAGTTGCTTACATTTTCTTAACAGAAAGTATAATAAGCATTTAGCCAAGTCATCTAGGGAGACCGGAGACGCCATAAACCACTTAAATACCGTATCAAAATACATAAGCCGCATAAATAAAATGAGATTCTACCAGAAAAAAGGCCTTTAAAAATAATTTAGAAATTATAAAAATATAAAAAAAAAAATTTAGAAATGTAACGAGCAAATCATAAAAAGTTAGCGAACCTTGATTCAAGTCTTCCTGAAATAATTGAAACTAAAGGTTCTTTGATACAGAGCAGTCAGACTGAAATTCGTAGGGGCTCTCCTTCTAGTTCAATAAACGGTTACACAGATAATTAAAAAATGACTGGAAATTTTGATCTCCGTTGCTAAGCGTTTTAAAAGATTCAGAGCAAAAAAGGTAGTGATAACTTATTTTTCTCTCAAGTTCCACCCTAAAAGAGCAACTATTTTTAAATTTGCCATAAGTATGCTGACGACATGACATGGGTATCTACAGAGAAACATTAAACAGTAGCTTTCCTTGTAGAATTAGAGAAAGACACCTAAAAATAAAAAAATCAAAGCTGAAGAATGCAGCATCGAACGAATGAGAGGCAATGCATGAACACGTTTTGAGGAATTAACTCTATAGAAAAGACAATATATTTTTATTAAATGTCCAACAGTGCTTTCAGCAACAAGAAAATCTCGACAAAGATCATACTTTGAGGGCTTTCACTGCCTACGTTACGCATGGATTTTAGTGGTACAAAACTTGTAAATGGCTTTGAAAAAAGCAAACATTTAGTAAACTAAAGCTTTTCGTCTGACACTCTTCAGAGTTTAAAACGTCAGAACATAGATCGAAAACTCTACGCTAAGAAATATGTATACCCAGTTGTGGATCGAAATAGGCCAATCAGAAACACGAGCACATGACTGTAAAGGTTGGCCAATCAGTGCCGCTTGCCTATTAGAATGTTACAAGTGGAGTCCTAAGGTGAAAACGAACTCCTCTTGTCTACACAGTAGCGGTTTTTTCGTGCTTATGTAGATAGATTTTAAAACTGCTAGGTGGAACGACGATCGGGCTTTACCAATAATCCGAAACATGTCGCCATTATAGTTTTTTGCACAATCTGGGTTTTCTAGCAAATGCTGCCCGATAGCAGAATTGCAGGTTTTAGTTGTAATTTTAGATTTGAGGTGGCTGTTCTCTTTGCGGATGGGTTTTGTTTCTAATATTAGACGGAACATGTTGTTTTATTCTATCCTCCAATCTTTGGGTAGTGCGTCCTACGTAGCCAGAATCACACTGGCACGTAGATTCATAAACAACGGAACTTTTTTTTGTGGCAGGAACGCAGTCCTTTTGAATGGACGGAAGGGCCTTTTTTGTACTATAAACAACACGTGGGTTAACCGCGAAGAAACAATTTGTTATGGCCTGTTTTATTTGTCGGCTGACGTAAAATTTGGTCCTCAAAAGTGCCCGGTCTATCTAAAACTACCCTGGATCGGTAACAGCTCCCTACGTTTTGAAAGCCAAATAAAACAGGCCATAAAGGATAAAACAACACGTTCCATCTAATATTAGAAACAAAACCCATCCCCAAAGAGAACAGCCACCTCGGTCTTGCAAATCTAAAATTACAAATAAAACCTGCGATTCTGCTATCGGGCAGCATTTGCTAGAAAACCCAGATTGTGCAAAAAACTATAATGGCGACATGTTTCGGATTATTGGTAAAGCCCGATCGTCGTTCCACCTAGCAGTTTTAGAATCTATCTACATAAGCACGAAAAAACCGCTACTGTGTAGACAAAAGGAGTTCGTTTTCACCTTAGGACTCCACTGGTAACATTCTAATAGGCAAGCGGCACCGATTGGTCAATCTTTACAGTCATGTGCTTGTGTTTCTGATTGGCCTATTTCGATCCACAACTGGGAAAATATATTTCTTAGCGTAGAGTTTTCGATCTATGTTCTGACGTTTTAAACTCTGAAGAGTGTCAGACGAAAAGCTTTAGTTTACTAAATGTTTGCTTTTTTCAAAGCCATTTGAATGGATTTTAATGAAAAAGTTAGCTCATGAGCCTATACAAAAAAGCTGGAAAATATAATTTGTCTTTCGAACGTAGAGATCTAAGAGTGATTCCAAAAACTAGCTATCAAAGAAATACAATTGTCTCTATCTCGAACTTGCAAAGGGACCGCTGAACTTGTTTGAGAAATAGAAAAATATCAGAGGTACATAAAAATTCTTAAAAAAGGGGAACAAATCAGAGAAAAGAAGAGCGTCAACATGTCATAGTCATGGTAACAACTATTGAGCCATTTTAGAAAAGTGTGTATGTGTTCCCACTTGGTCGAGAGATTTCATTCGTTAGAATAACGTCCATAAGAATACCGTAGATACAGGGAAGCATTTTTTAAAGCGTTCTCTCCATCTCCAATTTCGTTGGTCGCTCAGGCGCTTTATCATAGGTGTTGTCATGTCATATTTCTTTTCTCTATTAAATTCTTCTTGCTCTTTATGCTGTTCTAAAGTCTGGAACTGTCCATAGGAGATACAACGCTCGAAAAACCTGAATTCTTAATCATTCTTTATTTTTCTATTTTTCTAATTTGTTCGCAATTTTCTATTTTACAGGCAACTTTTGTAGCTTGCTTAATCAAACTTTCTCTCCCAAGTAATCACTCCATTTTCCATAAAACCAGGGAAAGTTCAATATAGTGAAAGCAACACATCTGCAGGGAAACTGAGATTCTTGTTTGAAAAAAAGAAAAGTTTGAGACAGTAAAGTTCAAGATACAGAGAGAAAATTAGACGGCTGTCACCGCAAAATCCAAACAATGAATGAGAACAACAGCTCAAGATCAAGAGAGGCTTGATGTAGAGTATATTTGAGACAGAGTTAACTGCATTAGTAACAAAGAGTGTATTTTTCAAAACGAAAAGCGAGCCATGAAGTGCAGTAATAAGAGTGACATAATAAACCTGGCTAGGACATATGATACCACTACACACACTGAAACCCCAGCCAGAAAAACACTTGAATAATATTTTTGAAAATCCAAAAAGTTAAGATGAAGACCGAAGCAAATTATAGATCCACTGTCTAGTTGTACCTAAGCAGCTGATGGGTGGATTTATAAACATGATTTTGTGGGACCTGATTTGTGGTACATACCCTTTATAAAAATTATAAACTTGATTTTATGGTATTGATGAAGCTAGACCTATGGCCAGATTATCATATTTCTTTTGCTTCTATACCAGTCAGTTACAAGGTTGCTTTCAAAATCACCAATCATTGCAATACAAAAAATGGATAATAAGATGCTTTTAGAAGAAGGTCAGACCAAAGTTTGCCAAGCAACAGAATTTTAAGCATTTGAATGCATAAATGCTAATTTAATTGAGTGCTAATGCTATCTTATATTGACTTATTACCATGGTACTCAAATAACTTATGCATGGTTTGGGTCTATCTAAATATAGTAAGCGGGAGTTGGTTAGAGTGAAAACCGCATGGATCCTTTTTCCTGTATTGTAGAAACCTGCAAAGTTTCCCACATTTAGTAGAAAAGACAAAACCACAACCTATATCTTGCATTCCTGTACACACACATAATTTTCATCAAGACTTCAGCACTTCCTTCTTCAACAGAGTTATTTCAGAATCCATACAGTTAGTTACAACAATGACAGTTCAGCTTCAACTGAATAATGAAGGAATCAAAATGGAAAGCAATTCTAATTCATGATAAAAACAATATCATTATCATAAAAATATTGTCTTCTCATAAAAATACATTACTTTATACCAGGCTTTGGTGCATTAAGAATCATGCTCTTGAGATCTCATGCTTAATGCAGTTTAATTAATCCATCCGGGATATTGTTACTCTTCTATGGGCCTCGGTGATGGGGATATCGTCACGTGTGCGACGATCGCGTAGATCGGATAGAGAGATCACACTTAACTGGCATACATCGATTCATTGTAACAATATGCAATGATTGTGCACAACTCAAAGAAGTGAGAACAGCTTTGTGCACAGTTAAGACACGCACAGAGCGTACGTTTCCCTGAAATCTTCATTATGTTAATGCAAGCTCTGATGAGTTAACTTTCAGTTTCTCTACTTGAAATCACGCACTGTGAGCAAAAATCAATGGCTTAAAAAGAACCATCCAAGGCAATTGTGGAACACCTGTAGAGGGTATATCGCGACAGAGTGGTGATCGACAGATGAGGTCGTACCCATGCAATAAGGAGCAGTATGTCGAATAGTAAATTCATGAGCCTCCACTAGTGCAAGCTCAGGAGAGGATTCCTGCAATATGGGAACTCCATCTTGATACATTCAAAAAAATGCACTTTGATCCTTGCTCTCAGAAGCCACGTATGCTGATGTCAAGCTTGTCCGTCTTCTGACTTTGTTGGAATTCTTTGCGGAGATTTATTTCACCACAAGATGTTCGTACGAGGTGGCTCAATCTCGAAATCTCATAAGTTAGAAAGTTCTGCTCTGCTGAACTTGCACATACTTACATTGTGTTGAGTGGAGATATATCCACCTTTGTGACGACATTGGCATAGGTCACACGTGTAATAAGAGTGTTTCCGCATAACACGAAAATAGTTGCTATGAACTTTAGATGCATTTAAGAATATCGCTCATCAGAGAATTGCCACGTCGTGGAATTTACCTTGTTGGGATAATCAAAAAATTTCTTTGGCCTCTAAAGAAGAGAAGTGAGGCCCATTAAGCATAGACATAGTCAGGACCATTCGCGCAAGATCTATGCTGAAATATCTGAGTAGGACACAAGAAAATATGGCGCGAACTGGAGAGGGGGGGCTTGCTGAAGAGAGGTAGATCTACTGGTCCAAAGTGAATGGTAGTATCCACGATCGTTCAGGGTGTGTGGAGCTGATATAAAGATTGCAAGGAGGATTTGCGCGTAATATGAATGTTATAAAGGAATGCTATGGGAATCCTCAAGTCGCCGCCAGTTCGAGAAAGGCGAAGGATGAGCTTCGATGATGGGCTCGAAGACGACCGAGGGTTGAATTATGAACGCGTCTGTGCTAAAACAACATAGAAACTGAGAGTAAATTACACGCTATCTGGACCTTTCGTCTTTTAAAGCTAGACCAAAACAAAGCTAGAGATATGGCAGGTAAGTAACCAGGTACACACTCAGATTGACCCTGAGCCTGTCTGGTTAGTTGTCTGTATGGATCTTTGAAGTCTAGGTTAAGAGTGACGGCCATTAGCACGTTCATGTGGACCTGATTGCAGTAACCTTGTGTATCTGATGTGTAGCGAGATATGATAAAATAATGATTAAAAAATCAACACTTTTTTGCTGTTTTTCAACAATCTCTTGCTAAAGCCATCAAGTTTATCAAACAAAAATAAGTCTAATCATTCGCTGCTAAACTAATTTTAATCCATGTTTACATTGGTTTATATCTGCAGTCAGTCACGTACGGATTATTGTAAAATTAGCCTCCATTTATTGTACATACTCAGTTCACTTCAGTTCATTTCATTTTAAATTCGATCCACAAGTTGTGTGGGCTCGTGGAACAAACATGACACAACATATGCATTCTTACAAATTTTTGTCAAAAACATTAAATACAACAAAAATGAAGAACTACAGCCT